CGTTGGTGTGTCCCTGTTGGTGTGTCCTGTGCCTGCGGCACCGGGCGGCTCCAAAAGGACGGGGTTCCTCTGCGCCAGCTCTGGGCTTAGTAAGAGATGAGGAGGGCAAAGCCGGGGTTGCCCGGTGTGGTGTGTAGGACTCACCTCGGTGATTTTGCCCCCCACTTCCCCTCAGTCTCGTTAATAGCTCTTCAAGATGTAGCGGTCAAGTAGATTAATGTTCCTCATCTAGAGCTCTCACGGACGCTATTAGTACTGCTCCTGCAGTGCATTAGTCATTTTAAAAAACCAGAAAACTCATCTGTGTTCTAGGGCTCTTTAGCCACTTGATTCAATGGTGCTTTTTACGCTAGGTGAAGAGCTCTGTGTTTAAAGCGTGTTTTGTAAGTAGGTAACTGTAAATTGTTGTCATGACTGTTGAAACCTCTTTCTTGAAGAGGGTACTGAGCTTTGAAGTGCCTCACTACAAACCGGTGTCGGAACAACAGATTGTCCTACCAGATACAGACTTGCAATGGTGGCTATCCTAGTGGTAGAATGGAATTAGTAACAGTTGCTCTTTGTGTCACAGACACTTAATGACACTCGGATATACGTTTAAACGTGCATAACAGAGTTAGCCTTCATTCATAAAAACCATGCTTGTATCAGGGCGTTACAAAATGCATTATGGAAACATAATGGGCAACGTTAATTACGCTGATGTGGGTGAAATTCATTGCTTGTCTTGAGCTAGGTGCTTTCTTTGAATTACTTTTTAGATTATTAGACTAATAAACATTTGGTGGAACTAGATGGTTTGTTTTAAATGAGGTAAGTTGCTGTTAGTCACTTGGAGCTTTTTAACTTTTTTAATGCTTCAGCTGAAGGTTCTGCAGATTTAATGCAGTTTATTTGGATGTTATTTAGAATCTATTCTAGAAATGAGTGGATTAGAAAACAATTGCTGCATTTCATCTATTGCCAAATGAATTATTACTTAAATATTACACCAGAGAACACTTCTTTATTAGAAGACAAAGCCCATCAGTGATACAAGCTTGAATCTCATATCTTCCACTTAAGCTGAAAAAGTATGTTGTTTTCCTTGGCTGAGTTTCCTGCTTATAATTTCTACAGCTAATTAATAAAGGAAGCTAAAGGCATCAGTGAAAATAGTCCCTAGCCGGTGGAGTTAAGTGAGGGTTGTCTAAAAGTGAAAGTATTGCTTTTAGTTAGCAGAAAGATTTTAGAATAGCTGTAAGGGCTTGAAAGACAACTTTTGAAAACCCCGCCATGTTGTCCATGCTATGTGTTGGAATATCAAAGGAACTGTTTGTTACAGCATTTGCTGTGTGATTTCTATGATCTCTCACTTCTGATGCACTTTTACTAGAAGCTTAGGGGAGGATTTTGCTGAGATCTTGGAGTAGTTCTTATGTCATACCTTCATACTTTAAATCTTGACCAGATCCAGCTTAAACCTGCTCTGTTCCCTCTTTCTTTCCCACCTACTCCTATGACTTTTACTCTGGGTTAGGTCTCATTCATTGTGTACCCACACAAGTGTGTCTCCCATTCCGGAGAAGCTGATACAGGAGAAGCGATGACTTTGGGTGTCAGTGCAGGATTGAAGTATGTATGTGCCTGTATCCTTAGACAATGCTCATGGCTATAATCATCATTTGCCTTTCTGCCAGATGTGTCTAAATTTTTTCAAGGTTTTTATATCTTAAACATTATTAAAACTAGTTCACTATGTTTGTGTTATAAATTTAAATAGGGATGTGCTCTACTTTTTCTTAAACCTTCTTATGTTTTTTCTGTTTCAAAACAAAAATGAGCCTACCTTTCATCATCTTCATGAATGATTGATTTAAGGCTGCGTAATAAAGATAACCTTTGAACTTCTAATGTTAAAATAGATTTATTTTTTTTCACTTCCTCTTATGAGGAAACACCACAGTGTTGACTTTACTGTGTTTTTCAACTCTCATTTCTCCTCTTGCAAGCTTGCTTGTTCTAGCAAGTGAAATGTGCTTTGTGATCTGCAGTTTGGGCTTAAATACCTGTATACTTAAGACAGATAAGAAGAAAAGGAGTAGGAATGCATCTGAAAACTTGGAATTGATGCCTTTGATTTTGACCTTGAGAGAAAATATTATCCTTTATAAAATTCAGAACATGGAGAGTAATTTTCTGGATGGTAAATGGGACTGATAATTGGCTTCTGGAGCCAGTTCTAGAGATGGTTACCTTAAAAGATAGAGAGGGGAAAAAAGTTGTAAATTTGGTTCTGTTCTTTATGTGATTTAGGAAAGTTCTAACAATTACAGTACTGGAAAATAGGGTTAAAAAGATGAGGAGAAGAGCAAAGTTTTCAATGTCCCTTTCAGCTGAGAGGGAGAAACTTAGAGTGATGTAAGGCACCTACAACAACAGTCCTCTGTGCTTGTTCCTCTGATTTTTATGTGCCCAGATATTTAAATAAATAAATACCGGTGAGGCCCTTAAAGCTGCATGTCTGTAACAGAAGCATGCTATGAAGCCTGCCCTGGCTGTTTAGTCTTTAAGACTCCTTTTTCTAGTGGTAGAATGCGGGTTATTCAGAGAAATGTGCTAACAGTGGCCTGCCTCTATTTCAGGTATTTAAATTTAAGAAAGACATAAATGTAGGCATGCTATTAGTATTATACTTCCTCTAACTTGGTGCCTCTTTCCTGAAAAATAGTTGTCTAAATGTTGTGTTTTGATGATTTAATGTGGTTGAGTGGTTTTCAGTTATGTGATCATTGCATTTTGCTGTAAAACGAACAAACAGAAAACTGTTAGAGAGCTTTCATGTCACACAGTGATCTGAGGTGAAACTGTAATATGAGGAAATTGCCTGCCAAAGTGTTCTGCTGGCTTCTAATCAACATATTGTTTATGGCAGAGATATGATGGCTCAGTCAGATTTAGATCTAAAAGAGACGGCCTTGAAAGAGGATTTGAAGTTTTACTTCATGAACCCATGTGAAAAATACAGAGCAAGACATCAAATACCGTGGAAACTGGCTCTGCAGATTTTGAAGATCCTCATGGTTACTACACAGGTAATCCCTCCTCTGTTTTCACTCTTAGAGAGCACAGCAGTGATTTGCAGGAGAAGCTGGTCTGTGGTTCTGGGCCTTTGCCATCCCTGGATGTTTGTGACTGCCTTGAACTTTCCCGCTTCAGTCCAGAAAGAAAAAATACTGTGAAAGGTGTGTTGAGAGCGAAGAATAACACTAAATTATAGGAGCCTCATGGAGATTAGAAGGAGTGTTTGACCAGATATTTTACTGTTTCTAAGACAACACCTAAAGGCAAATCCCCACTAAATCTAGCACTGTGATCAGGCTTCTTGTTAGACTCACAGATTACAGTTTCACTGAACTGTTTCAAAAGTGATACTTCTTGAAAGCTAGTTGGTAACTTGGCATGTACATGTTTAATGTGAAAATGCTACATTCTCGGGTGATGATGGGGATGGCTGGGCTACAGGAATTAGACGTGCCCTTTGCTTCTGTTGTCAGATGATGCATTTCAAACAGTTGGGTACCTAGATAGAGGCAAAGAAAAGCATGTTTTTCTTAAATTATGCTGGTACTACAGTGTAGTTGGTTATTTTAAAGTCCACTAAGAAATGGTGACTGGAGGTGGAGGGAAACAAAATGGGACACATAGAAATTACTAGTTTGGACCTTTGAAATGCAGGACTCTTGACATCTGACACTGCAAGAACAGCTAAAGATACAACTCCAAAAAACATGCTGAGTCGTGAGATTCCAGCTTTGTGTTGGACTTGCCCCACTAGAATGAAGCGTAGCCCTGGCTTACATGTCCCTGCCTTTTACCAACCACTCCTGCTCGTCTGCCCAGTGGAAGGACGCAGCAGGTGCTCTGGCCCCTTTGACCTGAAAGGGTTCTGCTGCAGCTGTGCCGGAGTCCTGACTGAGCTTGGGATGCAGTGGTCAGTCTGTCTAGGCAAGACTAGCTAAAATAAGCTATTTACAGCAGTGCTGACACAACTGCAGCCCATATTGACAGAGCTGCTGGGAACAGGGAGCGTATGGAGGTGGGGGGGGAGGAGGGGGCTGGCAGTGCGAGCACAGCATTAGCTAAGAGGAGAGGGTGCCCCATCTTTGCCACCTTCAGGAAGACAGGGTGGTGACCTTTGTGTGAGCAATGAGACAAAATGAAACTTCTCATGGCTTTGCAAAAGTTCAGTACTTTCAGTCTGTCCTGACCTACTGAATTATGTTCTTGGGGGAATTGCCAACCATGTAATTTTTGTCTGCTGTCCCACTTCCCTGCTATGCTTTGTGAGCAGAAGAGGTGTTCTGCTGCTTGGCTTTCAATGGGCACAAGATTTTCTGGGATGCCACTTAAGATTTTTCTCATCAGCCCTGTGTCTTGCTCAGGTGCCAGACAGGTAGTCAGCAAGAAGAGGAAAATAGAGTTTCTGAAGGAAAACATGTTGCCGCTCTGCAGGAAGGTCTTAAATGTGAGCTAATAGTGAGTGGAACGGTTCAACACGCGTCTCTGTCTTTCAGAGTGAGTGCAAGACCCTTGAAGGACAACCTAGGAATAAGTGAAGCCATCTTTTAGCTGCTTCTGCCTGATGCCAGCCTGTTAGTCATGTCGCTAGTAGCTTCTTTGGTGGGTGCAGCAGTTGGGGAACCTGTGCCTGACTGAAAAGCAGAAAAGGCTTCTGTCTCAGTGTGGAGAGTAAGTTTTATTCCAACGCTGTGCTGAAATCCCCTACAGAGTCCCCCAAGGAAATGCTGCTGAGTATGTCTTACTGCAGCTGGAAGATCCCTAACTTTTTTTAGAGATACTAGAGTGTTGCAGATTTATTTGCTGCATACAGTTAGTGATTTTTTTTTTTCTTGCAGTCAGTTGAAGATATAAGTAATTGATTTAAAACTTGACTACAGGAATGAAATTTCAATTCTTAATCTGAAGGCCTGGCAGAGCTGACATCCTCTTTTCTTTTTCCTGGCTGTGACTCTGCTGTACAACCAAACAGCCTTGCACTAAACAGCCCCGCTGAATGTATTCTTTTACCCTGGCCCAGATCTAAGCAATTACTTTCTAGGACAATATATGAAGTATTCCAGTGAAGGGAGGAAAAAAAAAGTGTGCTCTTCAGTTTCCTTTGTTTTAAATGAAGAAATCTGGATGTTAGTGGAGCCTGCCTGTTTGCTTTGGGGGATTCCTAAGTTGACAGTTCTTTTGCTTGCAGTTTCTCACTCTTGCTTCTTCTCTACTTCTGCCAGTTTCTTGTGGGGCTTGGAAACTCCATGCAGAAATGAGATGGTTTTACATTTGCTGTTAGTAAGTAGTTTAAATCTAGGGTGAAGGGTTAGCTATTTGGGGCTTGGGATATCCTCTTGCTGCATGCCAGTGAAGAAAATCTTGTTGCTGGATTTTTTTTTTCTCAGCTTCTAGGCTCTGTTTATATGTTTTCCTTGGTTGTGGAGAGAATGGGAGCATCCATATAGTAGGGCAACACAAATCCTGAGTAGCAACTCTGCTGTGTGCTGCTGCTTCTTGTTATAGCCTCCTGAACCAGCACCTAGGCCAGACAGGTGACTTTGTTTGTTTGTTTTGTTTGCTGTTGGGACCCACTTGGGTTTGCTCTAATCCTGTGCCATGCCACAGGTAGGAAGAAGGTGCAGGAGTTTGTCCCATAGCAGGGCATTGGGTAAGGAACTGACTAGAGGGTCACACTCCAAGAGTTGGTGTCAGTGGCTTGATGTTTGCATGAAGACCACTGAGAAATGGAGTTCCTCAGGGGTCTGTTCTGGGTCCAGCGCTGTTCAACATCTTTGTCAGCGACATGGATGATGGCACTGAGTGCACCCTCAGTAAGTTTGCTGACAACACCAAGGTGTGTGGTGCCGTGGACTCACTAGAGGGAAGAGATGCCATCCAGAGGGACCTCGACAGCCTTGAGAAATGGGCCAGTGCAAACTGCAGGAGCTTCAACAAGTCAAAATGCAAGGTCCTGCACCTGGGCCGGGCTAATCCCAGGCACAAATACAAACTGGGCACAGAGTGGGTTGAGAGTGGCCATGAAGAGGATTTGGGGGTGTTGATAGATGAGAAGATCAACAAGAGCTGTCAGTGCACTCATGCAGCCCAGAAGGCCAACCCTGTCCTGGGAAGAGGAGCGTGGCCAGCAGATCGAGAGGTGATTCTCCCCCTTTACTCTACTCTTGTGAGACCCCACCTCAAATTCTGTGTCCAGTTCTGGTGTCCCCACCGTAAGGAGCACCTCTGATACAACAGTAGGCTAAGGAAGCTGGGATTGTTCAGCCCGGAGAAGAGAAGACTTCAGGGAGACCTTATAACTGCCTTCCAATACCCAAAGGGAACCTACAGGAAGGCAGGGGAGGGACTTTTTACAAGAGTGTCCAGCAATAGGACAAGAGGAAATGGGTTTAAACTGAAGGAGAATAGGTTTAGACGGGATTTTAGGGAGAAATACTTCAGTACGAGGGTGGCAAGACTTTGGAATAGATTGCCCAGAGATGATGTGGGCACCTACCTGGAGGTGTTCAAGGCCAGGTTGCCTGGTCTAGTCAAGGGCGTCCCTGCCCATGACAGGGAGGTTGGATTAGTTGATCTCTAAGGTCCCTTCCAGCCTAGGCCATTCTGTGGTCCTGAGGTGGCAGGCTTTCCTGCCGTTTGTATCCTCAGGAAAAGTTTTAGCAATTTCCGCTTAGAGTAGTTCGTCCAGGATATGTGAAAGGTGGCAGTGGCCTAGCTGTTTGTTTAGTTGCTGCACTGTAAGTTTTTTTTGAATCAGTAGGAGACAGATTTGTTTCTCTCGCCTTGCATGTGGTAACATTGACTTTAGTATTCTTGTGGCATTAGTTAACAGATTCTCTGCTGCTGTTGTAACAGGGTTACAGCAACAGACACATTTCTGTTTTGTATCTGTTATAATTAAAAGCTGTTTCCAAAATGTTGATGCTTGACCAGTGTTCAATGTTCAAATTATTTTTTTCTTTTGTCAGCTTATTTTTTTTGGTTTGAGTAACCAGTTGGTGGTCTCATTCAAAGAGGAGAATACTGTTGCTTTTAAACACCTGTTCCTGAAAGGCTATTCTGGAGTTGATGAAGATGACTACAGCTGCAGTATATATACACAACAGGATGCTTATGATAGCATTTTTTATGTTATTAATCAGGTAAGTGCATGTGTTAATAATGAACAGTATTAAAGCCGAAGCTACAGCTATGAAGTTCTGCTAAGGTTCTGTTTTTCTGTCTCCATTCTTGGATATCAGTTTTCATATTTCAGACAATTGGTGTAGGTGGAGTGTCCTGAAATTTATATGTAGATGTCTGCATTTTTGTATTTGGGAGATGAATCTAAACCAAAATTTAACTCGGGTAGCGTGTGGTACTGAAATTCAGAAAGTTTGAAAATTGCTCATCTTGCATGAACTGGAACATTTCTTTGTGTCTTACCTTGAAGAGCAATGGGCCTGAATATACCTATGTATGGTATTCAAAAAATTTGTGCTTACAGCTATACTGAATTGCAGCTTTGTAGTGAGTGCCAGAGGCCTCAAAATGGGGAATACGGTACTTCCAGGAATGCAGAGGCACTCACCCTGGTTAGGAATGGTATTTTAAGGAACAAGCCCTTTACAATTGTGGGAGGAAAGTGAGTAAATGGAGGATGAAAATTCAACAAACTTTTTTTTTTTTTATTTAATCGTGTATTCAGAAGTCACGAGGAGAGTGTGTGTGTGGAAAATGAAGTGTCTTTTGTGTTTGGGGATGACAGTAAGCTCAGAAATGATTCATATTGGATGGATGGAAATTAGCTTTAAACTACCTTTTGTCTTGCCTGACCTTGGGGCATAAGCTCTGATGCTTGGTTTAAAACAGTTTTGCTGCCATCAGTTATGCCCAGCAAGCATCGGGCAGTCACGGTGGTGGGAAGGCTGTACCTCTCAGGTGGGGACTTGCTGCTCCTCTGCCAACTCCTCTAAGCTGCAGCAGAGCCACCAACAGATCTGCTGTGCTGGACAAGGCCAGGACTCTCACCCCTGCTATATTAAATGAGTGTTGAAGTAGTTTTCTCAGTCTTCCTTTGAACTCTCATTATTGCTACTATTTCTGCTATAAACTGTGCCTTTTTTTTTTTTTTTCCTTCCTTGCTTGCTTGCTTTTTCCCACTTTCCCTCTTTTGTAGGCGCTAAGGCTGAGGTGAAGTCCATATAGAAGACAGTAGAGAAATAATAGCTTTATATCCTCAAGAATGAGCCAATGTTGGACACAGGCGTCAGGAAAAGGTCTCTTCATAAAATGTCTGTGTTGTATAAATGTCGACATATCTTTCAAGGAGATTAAAGTTGTACAATCTGTGTTCTGTAGTGTTGTATGGAGATCCAGAGGCTCTTATTTTCACGTGTAAGGCTTCAAAGTGTTCCTCAAGGTGAACATTGACTGGTGTTGTGTTTGGGGGGTTTTGTTTGTTTGGCTTTTTTCTTAAAGGATGCCTTCTAGGAAGGCCCAGGTCAGGTGACTCCTAACCTAAAGGAAAGGCTTTTAATTTTTTTTTTTAAATTTCAAAGTGGACATAGGTTTTAATGCTTTGTTTTAATTTGAAATGCATGGCTGGTGGGGGGGATTTCAGGAGTCATGTAAGCAGAAGGACATGGTATTACAAAAGATGGTAACAGCATGCAGCAATACTGAAGTTGTACAAACTGAATTTTAGACTTTGTGTAATGTACCACTGGGATATTTTCACACTTTGGGGAAAAAAAAAAAAACCAAAAACCAAACACCACAAAAAATAAACATGGTTTTCCAGTTGGAAGAGTACACAGCTTTTCCTTACTCCTCTTCTGTGTTGTCTTCTATTAAAATGAAGGTGTGCAGAGTTTTGCTTGTACCCTGCCCTGCAGCAGAGTCTGTAGGACCAGGATGTTCTGCTGGCTGCTCTGTCTGAGGCTGCTTAGAAATGCAGAAACAGGAGTTTTGCTTTTACTGGTTTGTAATGTTTGAAAGTGGCATGTGAGTAACGCAGACATAAGGGCTGCGCAGTCAGGAGGGCAGAGCCTGAAAGCACGCGTGGATGGAGGAGCAGCTGTCAGACGCAGTGATTTGGAGATGTCCTCAGAGGGGTGTGGAGTTGCGACTAACTGCTGTTTCCACTGACTTGATCTGCCTTGGTCAGGCTGGGCTACCTTAGTTTACTCTGAGTTAAGGTAATGTTCTTGCAGGGTATGGAGGCTGTGCTTTTCTCCTGGGCTGTCTAAATTTGCCGTAAGCCCAGCGGTGAGGACTTGGAAGCAGTAGTGAGAGGCAGCGCTTTAGATGGAAACATGGTAGTTCCTGTTGCAGTTCCCTTTGGACATGGTACCTGTGGTTGTTAATGACTGTTGGGATTTTGTATCCCCCAAGATGGGCTGGTGGCCGTAGTGCTTACAGAAAGGAGGAAATAGGATGACTGAATACATACATAATAACAAATCTGTGTTTGAGGAGAAAAGGGTCTAATTTGTATCCAAGCCAGATGAAAAGGTTTTTTTAAAGGAATGAGAAGCCTTGTCTGACTTCTCACATTTATTTACTGCAGAGCTGGCAAGCTAAATGCTTCCTTCAGAGCAGACCAGTGCTGTATGCTGCCCTCAGCTCTTTCACGAGGTGAGGTAGTGATAAAAACTGAAGAATTACTAGATATTTATGCCTTCTTCCTCAGAGGGCCATGGGTCTATCTGGTGTCTCTTGGACAATGTTAGCTGCATTCATGGTTAGTCATTTTCTCCTCAGCTGTCGAACAGTCAAGAACCACAGGGCAAACTGTGCCCCAGGGGTTTGCCTTGCTCGTGCAAGACTGGAAGTTGTGACTCCAAGGATCAGAGGATCTTGTGTCCAGCAGATGCTGAGGGCATGTGGAAGGCAAGTCGGGAGAGGACTGGCCTTGAAAGGGGTTATTCAGTGGTGCTGACGGCTGATCCATGCTTGAGAAGTGTTTGGCTTGGCTTGGCTTTATTTGCTTTCACTTCTAGTCCTTGTTTCCATGTGTTTCTTAGCATATGAAGAAGGTGGTTTGTGTTGTGTGTAGAGTAAGTGAAAAAGAAGGTCCCTTCCTCACAGGCATGTTTTCAGTTGCTTCTGTGCTTGTGTAAAGCAGGCAGGTTAAATTTCTTTGGAGGCTGCCCAAGCTATGTTCCTTGCTTGCTGGTTATATAGCGAATGTGTGACTTTTCATGCCAGGCATCTCATCAAAAGCTGTCTGCTGGCTTGCTGTCCGGCCCTGGGTAACCCTCTGCAGGCAGCCCAGGGTGTGCAGCTCCCAGTCGCTGTATCACCAGGATGCCAATCACTACTAATTAGTGGCCAGCAGCCCTCTTGAGTGTTCCCATGAGATATCCACTATCAATTTACAAATTTTAAGTGAAAGGATAGATTTTTGGGGGGGTTGGTTTGTGGGTGGTTTGTTTGTTTTTTTTCTTAAAGTAAAGGGCATAGTGAAACATAATTTTGTTATTGCAGGTTACTATCTAACACGAAAAACGTTACTATCTATGTAACTTCTGCTTCTATTTTGTTTTTAAACTAGTACAAGCAATTAAAGAACATATCCCTGGGGACACTTGGTTATGAAAGTGAAGGATCAGGTTTAAAAATATGTAAACAACAGTACAAGAAAGGCACAATGCTTCCTTCCAACGACACGTTGAACATAGATGTTTCTACTGAAACAGGTATTGTATTGTACTAAAAATGCCTTGCTGTGGAGTACTTCTATTTAATGCTGAATCGGTGAAGTTCAAAACCAATAGGTTTTCGCATGGCAGTCAGAGGACCATTGTCAGGCCTTTTTGCCTGATCGCCTCTTGGGTTTTGGTACCTCCCTAGAAATGGCAACTGTGTAGACTGTAGGAAGCTCTTGCCGACTGCTGCCAGTAGTGGGTTGTGGGTGGATTTGTGGTTTGGTTTGGTTCCCCCTCCTCGGGCAGAAAGTTCCAGTACAGAATTCTGAATGCTGGTCAGCCCATACTGTCAGTGGGTGGGTGTCCTTACTGCCTCTTGGAACCCAGTCCATCCTGTTGGCCTCTTGAGATTTGCTACACGAATGTCAGGGTTTAACCCCAGCTGGCAGCTAAGGCTCATGCAGCCGCTTGCTCGCTCCCCTCCAGTGGGCTGGGAGAGAGAATTAGAAGCTTAACAGGTAAAGCAAAAGCCATGTATGCAAGCCAAGTGAAAGAAGGAATTCATTCACCCCTTCCCGTGGGCAGGCTGGGTGTTCAGTCATCTCCAGGAAAGCAGAGCTCCATCCCATGTAACAGGGACTTGGAAAGAAAATGACATCACTGAGAATGTTCCCTCCTTCTTCCCCCCCAGCTTTATATGCTGAGCATGACATCATACGGTCTGGAACATCCTCGGGGTCAGCTGTCCCAGCTGTGTCCCCTCCCAGCTTCTTGAGAACCCCCAGCCCCCTCGCTGGTGGGATGAGGAGCCGAAAAGGCCTTGACTTCATGCAAGCTTTGCTCAGCCCTAAAAAAGACGTCCCTGAATTATTGACAGTATTTCCAGCAAAAATCCAAAACACACGCCCATACCCGCTACTATGAAGAAAATTAACTCTATTCTGGCCAAAACCAGAATGATGAACCTGGTTCTCATCCCACTAGCTGGGGCTCTTCATGGATAGGTTTGCTCAAAATTAACATTTTGCCTGATTAGGACTTGTCATGATTATCTAGTTTTATCCCACTTTCTGTATGAAGTTTTTAAGATGACAACTTTTCCTTTTCTCCTCCCAGAATGTATCTTTTTTAAGCCACAGGAGCTAGCTGGTAAGAAGGCTGAACTGAAGCTGAACTCCTCTTTTTTCAATCTTGAATTTTACAGGTAAAGCAGTGGTGGGAATCTTTTTTTATTTTTAAACCTGTTCTTTCATATGAATATGGTGGATTCCGAGTTGTGCAGTTTCCTTGCTTTGTGTCTGTGTGTATTTTTGTGTGCATTTATATATATATTTATACACTTTTTAAAACATGCAGGCTTATACAGGTTGAAATCTCTTTCAAGCTGAAAGGCATCGCTTTACAGACAATCCATGCCCGTGAATTGCCTGACTGCTATGTGTTTCAAAATACTGTAAGTGAGTATGGAGTATAGCACTTCCACCACTGTATATATAACAAGAGCTTATGGTGAGGGTGGGTCAATATCCTTGTATTTAGACAGCAAGAGAAAAGCACTTGAGCATGTCCTGATGCTTACCCCTCCTTCCTAAAGGTTACTGAAATGGTGTTGTCATGATGCAATATTATTCTGTACCATACTCCAGCCATTAACTTCATAACTTGAGAAGGAGAGAAGTAATTTTTATTCTCCTGGAGGTTAAACTTGAAGTTTTGTATCTTGGAATACTTCTGTTTATGCTTTATGTGACATGTTCTCAGATTACATCTACACTGACACTTATGGTGACAGCTTTTTTAAAGCTTACCTGATCAATAAATATTAATATATATTATGTCAAAGCACTTACCGAGCTCTTTTTTATGAAATGAAGTTTTGTTAGTCTTGTTTCTGATATACTTTTGTATTTCCAGATAACTTTCAATAATAGAGCCCACAGTGGAAAAATCAAAATCTATTTTGATAGTGATACTGATATTCAGGAATGTAAAGACTGGCACATATTTGGCTCAGGTAAGTACAGTGGACGTGTGTTTACGTGATAAGTGTCACACATCTCCCATCATTTCCCCTGTTCTGTAACAGTCTCTCTAGCAAGACTTTGCCCATCCTGTTCATCCACTGATATGGGTAAGCCAAGGAAACACCTGATTTGGGTTTGCATGATGCCTTATAGGCTATGGATGAAAAGAATATAGTACAGAAAGTCAGACCAGTTTCTGATTTCATGGAATAAGAAATGAGGTGGTATGTTTTGTTTAGTTCTCATTTTTAATGTTGCTGTGGGCCAAAATCTGCATTTCTCTTACCCTGTATACATGTAACACTTAGAGTACAGATGGACAGATGAACTTAATGTGAAAAGGGAACACTTGTATTGATATATGCATTTTTGGTTTTATTTTGAAAAACTGGATCATGCTTTTCATTCTTGTGACTCAATCTCCATAGCTGCAGAAATAATATTTCTTATAACCCATGTGTTTATGGGGTGAGAGTGTTTAAATGCAAAATATGTGACATTTTGGAGCAATTTGTGCTGAGATGTGAAAAGACTAACTACTTTCTTTGACTCTTTACAGTTCTCCAGAAGAACACTCAGTATATTCTAGTCTTTGATGGATTTGTCATTTTAAGTTGTTTTGCTTCTCTCATTCTCTGCACACGATCCATTGTTCTTGCCTTGAGACTACAAAAAGTAAGTACAGTGCTTGTAATCTCGGTGATTACTTTGTCTGTTTTGCTGCTAGTCTAGTCAAGTAATATGGATTGAAGTAGTGGGTAGTGTTTCTGTTTTAGGATGTTGCTCTCTTGCTGAGTATCTCTAGAAAGGATGTGTAGGTGTCTGTGACGACCAGTTGCTAGCTGAATGAGTTTTTAATTCTATGTAGTGCTGTAATGTGAAGTATTGTGTTGTGTCTCTGGAGGGCAGAAGGAGACTTTTTTCATTTTTGTTCAAGATTTTACACAAAAAACTTCCGAGTCTTTTTGCTGCTAAAGGCCAGTGCATCCTGTACCTTCAAAACATGAATTCTTCCCTTCCTGGCTTCACAGTAGAATTCCTGTAGAGATCTCGTCATAAATGCTTTCAAGAACATCCCTCAATGCCAGCTCTAACTGGAGAAAATGTAAAGCATAACATAGACTCTAATTCTGGCTGGGTTTTTTGGTCTTTCTAGGGTTGGAACCACCCTTTTTCAGTTCTTTCTTTCTTCTCCCTCCACAATCTCTGATCACCATCTGCTGTTACTTTTCTTCCTTGCTCACCCTCCTGTGCAAACAGACTAGCCCTGCTGCTTGCAGAGCTTCATGTAAGCAGAATTGGCTTTTCTGGTCCAGCTACTGATGGAGAAACAAAAGCTGGGCCCTGATATGGGCCAGTTTATAATCATTGATAGAAACTTTGCAAGCATGCGGCTCATGTTGGAAAGAGTTGGAAAGAGTTCAGGATACATAGCATATGAAAGCACAGATATTGCTTATCTTGTTCCACATATGCTTTTTGTAGCTCGTAGACAAGAAAGGTTGAAGAGGATGCAGTTCAACAAAGGCCTTGTCAAACTGCTGTCAGGAACAGGGACATGAGCATTTATTCATGAGCAAAAAGAGCAAGTGAAAGCATATAGGCAGTGTTGGGTGTGGGAAGTGATATCGTCAGCTCTATTGGATGTAAGAGCTTCTGTCTTATAGTTGTATTTGAGTTATTAATTTTCTTTCACTCCTTTAGTTGGGTGGCCTTGCTTTGTTGGAGGTGGATAGAAACTTTTGTGAGGGGGGCTAAGAAGAGGATAACAAGCCACGGCTAAACTAGCAGGGACCGGTTATGAGGTCAGCTGTTCTGTGGCAAGTTGGTTTTCACTAGCTTAAACCAATCTTAACTTTTTTTCCTGTTTATTTCAATTGCTATTGAGAATGAGTTTTAAGCTATTATTCCAGAAACCATGATGGTAAAAGGGGGTATGTGAAAATTGCTATGCTGCTGGGGCATCTGTACATATTTTTCGTCCAAGGTGACCTGTAACTAAACATCTAAATGCTTGTTCATAGAGATTTGTGAACTTCTTCTTGGAGAAATATAAGCGTCATGTCTGTCATGCTGATCGCCTGGAGTTCATAAATGGATGGTATGTGCTGGTAATTATCAGTGATGTGATGACAATCATTGGGTCAATCCTAAAAATGGAAATAAAAGCCAAGGTGAGAGTTTAATAATTCGGATAAAATACCAGTCTTGTTACAAACACATGTAATGTGTCTTAACTTGGGGATGAATGGAAGTCAGCTGTCATAGTCACTAGTCATCTTGTTTACTTTTGCTAGTTTTTATTTAATTTCTTACTTCTTATTTCATTTACTAGTGCTAGTTTGACTGATAACTAGTTTCAGTCCGTTTTCCCTGAAGTTTTTCAGTAAGACCATGTAAGCTATTTAAACACTTTACTTTCACAGTGCTAAGTTTCCTAATCCCTGGTATAGGATTTGTAGTAGAAAATTCCTAATAAAGGAAACCAACTTGGATTGTGTTATTGCTGTAAGAAGTAGTACAGGAAAACCAGGAGTCATCCCACTTGGTAACAGGACTCTTGATTTAGCTCGTGGGACTGAAAACATGGCTGTTGCAGCTTACTTTTCTGGCCTGTCCAGACTACAGGCACAGACAAGTGTCACTTACTAGACTTTGACCTCCCAGTCTGAGCTTGCTGAAATTTGTGTGTTTTGTCCAGCTGGCAGCTCTTCAGGGGATTTTTGCTTTGTTGGTTGGCTGGGGTTTGTTTTTTTCTTCAATAGGATTGTATGTCAACAATTCATGTGTTCACAAAACTTTGTATTCTGGGAAAGACAGGGTAGGTAGCGCTTCATGTATAGTGAGGCTCAAAGGGCAGGTGCCTAGAGAGGCCTTCAGAGGAAGCAACTGCGAGCCTCTAGCTGTACGGCGAGCTGGGGGCGGTAAGGGTAGGAAATCTTCAGCTAAGTGGGCATTTTGTGCTTATTGCAGCCAGTTCAAGTCTTCTAAAGTAAAAAGCAAGTGGAATTGGTTATAAACCTCGCCAGTAGTAAAAATGATGATCAGGCTCCAAGGAGCTGGCAACCTGTTCAGAGGTGTAAATGTGTATAGCGTGGAAAGGGCTGTAGTCCTGAGGCTCGCTTTTCATTTAAATGATGGCTCATGTTCTACTAAATAGTGAATGAGTACTTATTTGCCCAACAATTGCATATATAAGCCTTTTTTTTTAAAAAAAAAACCACAACACAACAAACAAACTTGGAGATACTCAACCTAATATTACAACTAAGTCATAACCAAGGTGTAATTGCGTTGGTTCTTCATGCAGAACTACAAGAATATTATTGTAGATGTCCTTTTGTTTGCAGCACTATTGCATTTGGGTGATCTCACTGAATAACTGCAGTTCACTTTGGTCTGATTTTTGTGATGTAGCAACCACTTTTCATTATTGGACTGCGCTGCTTTGTTTGTTTGAGCTGCTGGAACTTGAATAGCTGGCAAGCTGACATACCTGCCGCTTTAACTTGACCACCTGCTCTGTTTGGATCCCTCAGAACCTCACAAGTTACGATGTCTGCAGCATTTTACTTGGAACATCGACTTTATTTGTCTGGGTTGGAGTCATCAGATACCTGGGATATTTTCAAACCTACAATGTAAGGCAGGAATCAAATATTCAATAATTAAGGGATGTATTTGTCACTCTTACACAGGTGTCCCTAACTTGAAGGGTTTTTTTTCTTTTCTTCTGCCCTGATGTGTAGGTGCTCATTTTAACTATGCAGGCGTCACTGCCCAAAGTGCTCAGGTTTTGTTGTTGTGCTGGGATGATTTATCTTGGCTATACTTTCTGTGGCTGGATTGTCCTGGGACCTTACCATGAAAAGGTATGTATTCCTCTTCTGGTTTTATGATGTGTTTGCATGGTTCCTAGTTATGACAACAGAAATAGGTCTTTTTTTTGTCTGAAAGCTGCAACATGAAGAATATGGGAGTGTTTCTAGTTCCATGCATACCTCCTGCTGCCTGCTCTGTTTAACAAAACTATATTCTTTCTCTCACTGTGTACTTGAACTCAATATAATCTCAAACACAAGGCTGCGTTTGTGATGAGTGGGGTGGTTTGTCCAGGCAATGTCTGACTGGGGACTAGAGATAAACTGGTTTAGTATCTCTTTCGCCCTCTTCTGGCAGTCCCAGTTCAGTTGGGCTAAAGAGGTACTAGTTCACTGGTCCCGGGTCTGGGAATCGACTTGACCCTGACTTTGTTTTTCTGAATCTTGCCTGTGCCATGTAACTTCAGCTCCCAGATTTTTAGCTTGTGAAGGGCTGGATGAATGCTTGTCTTGTTCACTTGGCTTCCTGTGGCGGGGGTGTATTGTGAGTTGGTTTTGTTGGTTTGTTTTGTTTGGTGGTATGTTTTTTAAGCTTCATACCAAAGCATGTGCATGGTATGTTGTCTTGTCTGAGGCCTGGGTACAGCAGTAAGGCTTTAAATATTCCAAAACACAGGCAAAAAAATCTGCAAAGCTTGGGGTTTTTTTCTTGACAGATGCTCTATGTGACAGTTTGAAAAAGGGCAGATTCCTGCTGTGATTAATTCTAGATGTCTATTAATCAGTAACCAATGTGTAACTTATCATTTTTGATTTTTTTGGTTGCATGCAGTCTATACTTTATGAGAGAAACATGCTGCAGTGCTTGCTTCAGCTTCTTACACTCTCAGAGCTTGGATCCCTGTAACATAATGTAACTTTCTCCTTTGAGAAATGTAGGTATTCAGTCTATATGTATTGTAAGTTGATGATGATACATGTTTCTGTGCGATGCTGGATAGTCTGGGATCCTCAGGCATGCTAGAGGCTCAGTTCTTTCTAACAGGCACAGCATAAATGTGGTTTTAGCTTCCCTGGAGCAAGTACATTAATTATCTGAGCAACAGGAAGTGTAGTCAGTAAAACACTTATCTATGCCAATGTTACCTTTCGCTAAACACCACAGATGGATGTCAAGGAGAGCAAGTGCAGCTGTGTGGGGTTTTCAGTCTCTGATAATTCCCAGTACCCACTGGAAGGCAGCATGGCACTGTGCAGCACAGCTGTCCCCGGTAGAAATTGTAGAATCAAATGGGAAGAGCCTTTCCTGCTCTGCAGGTACACAGGAGAGAGGTCCTTGTGCTCGAAGATTCTGGAGGCCTTAGCTCAAAAACATGGAAGTACATGTGTTTTGCTTTATTGTGGGTTTTTGTTGTGAGGTATGTGTTTGTTTGGATTTTCCCACCTCCTCCCACCTCCTCCTACTACAGCTAAAGAGAGGGAGTGGGAATTTGGTGGTTTTTTGTTGTCAGTCCAGGGGCTTTACAGGTGAGCAATCTTGAGCAGGTTTCTCTCTCTACCCGTGTTTCAAAACCCGTGGGTTACTCAAGAATTGCTTGTGATACACTGCTTCTTAGATAATGTTCTAATGGGTCTCATAATGGCTTTAAAAATAAATAATAAGTCATAGGTGAGACCCGACTTGCTGTTCCTGTGCAACAATATGTTCTCTGGACAAACGTGCCTCTTGACATCCTGTTTTTTTCTGCAGTTCAACTGAGTGTGATCATGTTACTTCACTGAGAATAGCTACATTGAAACATTGTGCATTCACATTGTCCAGTAACATACAGTAACAAATCCAGTTATTTTGGAGGGACAGAGTGATGGTGGGTAGTGTGCTTACCTGACTGCCGAATGGAATTTCGCTTCAGGGCATGTTCCAGCATGGAGAAATGGAGGAATTTAAGAGGGTGTCCTTGAAATGAAATTGTAATTTTACCCAGTGTGCTTAGTAGTTCCACAGTAGAGCTATAGCTTTTACCTACAGCTCAGAGTTTTCTGAATGGCAGATGAATGATACTACTGCAAGAAAAATGTAGTTTAGACTGTTGGAGCAATATGTTATCTTTAACTTCTTAATACAATATTGATTAATTACCCCTACTCCACTAATGCTGAAGAGCTGGGTAACGAGAGCATGTGGATTCTGTTGGCAGCATACCACTGCTGATTTACTATATAGTTTCTGTGAAATCACTTCACCTACGTGCTTTGGCAAACACAATGTTTTCTTGCAGAGTTGAAGTAGCTTAAGATTCGGTAACTTAAACATTCTGTGGTGGTCAGTTACCATCTATTTTGCCTGTTGAGCATTGTATGTTTATTTCTTGATAATGAATCTTCTTATTTCTGATGTCAATGTATAATGCTTAGCCAAAATTGTATTTCTACATGGTTCTGTTACTGGCATGTATGTGTTGGTCTTTATGTACAGGAAACAAAGTGTGGTAGCGTTCAATTGACTGGGTTGGCTGTTCTCTTCTGCTATGAGTAAAGCTAAAAAAAAATCACTTTTTTAAACACTTTGCTTTTCCTTTAATCTGGATGATTGATCTTCACATTCTATTAATAATTTGTACCCATTATTTTCTAGTTTGAAGATCTGAACACAGTGGCAGAGTGTCTGTTTTCTTTGGTCAATGGTGATGATATGTTTGCAACATTTGCTCAAATCCAGCAGAAGAGCACACTGGTGTGGGTGTTCAGTCGGTTATATCTGTACTCCTTCATTAGTCTGTTTATATACATGATCCTCAGCCTGTTTATTGCGCTCATTACTGACTCCTATGACACCATAAAGGTAAAACTTTTTTTTCCCCCTGTTACACTTTTAATAAGTTTTGTACTCATTTTTGTTAATCGCTGAATGCCATACTATCTAGCATTAATTACAATGACTGGTGAGACTATTAAAATCTTTTAACTTAGTCTGTGGTGAAATTAGGGGGGTGACTGGGTAGTCATCCAAATGACTAAGGAATTATTGGTTTGGAAAATCATCCTTAGTACCAGGTAAACTGACAGCAGAATTAGGCTAGTCTGACATGAACCACAGCTTCCAGGCTGCACAAGAGTTCCACTTTTTAAGCGTCTCAAAATAGAAATTTAACTGCCTGTGCTTCTAAGTTTATTGAATGATCTGACTTGCAAAAGTGTTTTACTGTTAATCTTCCCTCTGAGCACTTCCTGTGGGTCAATGGGGAGCCATTTCTGTGCGCTGAACTGGTTCTGCAGAGCAGTTACTCAGTGGCCAGGTTGAATATCCATGTTAGGGCCCTTCAAATCCAGCACTGGGGTTCCTGGGGAAAATGAGCCCAGAGCACTCACACTGAGCACAGCAGCTGATGTGAACAAGGGAGAATACATGACAGTGTCACTTGAGATCACTTGCCTGGTCTTGGATAGGAAAGAAAATGTAAGAGAATCTGTGAACAATATGAATTTTGTCACTTACATTTTTTTTCTCACCAACTACTTATGTGGTGTTTCTGGGATGGGATTACAGTTGGGGTTTTAGTGTGTGTTCTTTTTTTTTTTTCTGCCTCTGAAGAAAAATGAACAAGTGAAGAAAATAGTGTGTGTTTTGCTATCATGCTCTAGAGGAAATTTAGAACACTTCATGCTCAGTAACTTCTCATGTGTTCTAAATAAAATGCTTTCTCTTTCAGAAGTACCAACAAAGTGGGTTTCCAGTAACAGATCTACATGAATTTCTAAAAGACCATGGCAGTGTTGGTTACAGAAAAGAACAGACTTCCATGCCATTCATCTGCTGCTGCAGGAGGTCAGTAAGGTGCTTTTGATGAGTGTTGCTCAGGGGTACACCAGTTAGTGTCTCACTGAAAAGTGCTGTTTCGTAAATGCTGGAGCATCCAGAGTTCAGCTCGTGAAATACATGGATGCTGTTGTTCTCTTATGCATTAGCTGGTGGTAGATCTTTAGTCTGCTGATGGTGCAGGGCATTTCTGAGCTTAAATACATGTTTAAAGTGTTTTGCTCATAAGAAAACTACTATGGAGAAATTGGTGGAAGTTGATGGGGGGACTGCAGAGTATAACATGAAACTGCCTAGGAGTTAAGAGCAAACTAAGTCTCTGCTTCTTAGGATTTTGCAAGTCTTCTCTTTCTAAAAAGCTTTTCTGCTAGCTGGCAGTTGTAGCAGAAAGCAAGAGAATGTGGTCGAGCCAGGGACTAGTGCTTAATGCCAAAGCTCTGCTGTGTCTGTGAGACAAAGTGCCTCAATGCCATCTGTCAGCTTATCAGAAACACTTATGAATGTCTGACCTTTGGAGGTCTTAGCAATGGACTTTCTTTGGCTGGCATTGGTGAGAGATGAATATCTCATCTAGTGGTTGCTGGTCTGGAAGTCCATTCTTTGAATTATATTCCTGAGGATACCTAACACACCTCCAAATCCCTGATTGAGATTGGAGGGATCTTGTCACTGTCCTTAGGCAGTCCAGGAAAATTCCTGCTCATGCGCAGAGCGGGCACCACGCAAGGAGCCAGGCTATGGGAGAAGGAACAGAGAGCTGAATGTGAACACTTGTTCAATCTCAGATTCTGTAACAAATCCGATTTTAGCAGTAGGATACTTGGCTACTTGTATACTGAGGCTTTTGTGAAATGCAGCTTCACACTTTTGATGTACTCTGGCAGAGGGGGACATCATAGCTGAAAAAGAGAGCGTGAGATAATAATGGGCAGGTATCCTAGCAGTTGCTGTGGACACTTGAAAGCCAGCTAGTTACTGAGAACGCCAGCCAGGTGCAACTTCAGGTTTCACACTGAAGTCATTGTGCCAAACGGGAGATTTTTGTCTGCTTGAGCATGATAAATACACTTTACTATAACATGCTGCAGAGTATTGAGGGCACTAGCCTGGTAGCAGGAGTGCAAATATACAGCTTTTGGTGCTGTAGTGGTATTTGCCTGATTGTCCCAGTTCAGGAGTTGGAGCTGTACGCTGAAATGGGAGAGCACAGCATTGGAGGATCAAAACTCACCTTGGTTTTGTATGGGTCAATGTTTCCTATTGTGTTTCTTGCTGAATGAAAAATTGTGCATTTTTTTGTTTGCAGACAACAGAGTGATGACAACTTGATACTTATTAATTGATGATCACACGTTGAAATTCACGACTAATATGTGCGAAGAAAGCATAGTTGAATGGAGAAGAACGGTTCTCCAGCTGTCAATGAAACCCTCTGTCTGGACCCGCCCCACTGTGAGCAGATTAATCTTACCTGATTAAGGTGTTGGGGGCAGAAAAGCTGCTAATGGAACATCAGCTGGCTCACCAGGAGGAGAGTCCAGAAGCCGCATCCGGAGGAGAGCTGTGAAGAACTCTCTATTCTTGCCCCAAGTTCGGTCACGTTAAAGGCGGCTGATCCTTGAGTGCAGTGTCTGTGGGAGCTCTGTTTGCTAATTGCCTCTAGCAGGAAAAGTGGCCCTAAACCAACTGTTGTTAACAAGAAAAAGAAATATGCAAAAATAATTTTTTACAAATAAATAATTATGCTAAAAAACAAATAAAAACTAGTCAAAAAAGAAGGAAAGAGTTTTTCACTTAATAATGCATTTGGCATTAAGACTGTAATTTCTACTTGACATACTTCATTTCCTTGAAATAAATTTATGTAAAAATGGAGCTGCACAAAAGTGCAAATTAATTGCTATTCTTCCTCCTGTATATAATTTTAGCACAAGTCATTTATTTATCACAATCTTTAATAGCTGTACTAAAACCAAAAGGAGATCACTGTTTCTTTTTTTTTCTATGAGTCTTTTCTATTATGTCCACAATACTTCATGTGTACTGTGTCTAAATTAAACTTACTGCTTTTAACTATAGGTAAATCCTTCTTTTGGAAACTTCTATAGCAAGCATCATGTGAAGGATTAAAAGATTATTGGTTCTGTCTTTTGTTTTTTCAAATATTGCACTGTTGTGTTGCCATAACCTGGAGGACAAATTCTGGCAAAAAACAAGACTAGACTAATTACTTCTGTTTCAAGCACATCTTAAGTGGACAAAAATATGTAAGAACTAAGTCTGGCAGCTGGTTTGTTCAGTTGATTGTCTAGGTGTTTTTACAAATGACAGTCTCACAATACTGTTTGCTTGTTGGTGTTTTTTTTGTTTGTTTGTTATTTTTTAGCCCTTTTAATCTTTCTGTTTTTTTTTTCTAATGAGAACAGAGCACTTTCAGGAGCTTTAAAGCACTTCCAGCACAGCACTGCATAGGTGTTACCATGTGCTGAAGACTTTCATTGGTTCTGATAGCCCCTGGGGGTGGGTGGACTATTATATTAGATGCTCCACTTTGTCTGAATGGGGCTGTTTGCTCCCTACAAGCAAACTGTCTGTAGTAGATGATGTTAATTTCAGGGCGTGTTGGCTATGACTTGGTCTTGATATGTATCCTCTAATCATAAATGATGGACTCTGTGCAAGTTCTAGCTTGCTAGTGTTTCAACTTGCTGCAAAGACAATTTGAAATGCTGCCCTTGTGTAAGGTGGGTGACAGCTTAAGTTTGGGGTAAGGAGGAAATGATGCTGGTAAACCTTGAACAAGATCCTGATTTTGTGAAAGCTCTTCTTGGAGAAGACTCCTGAAAATACTGCATTACACCCCCTTGAAAACTGGCGTGAAGAAGCATATCAGAGGGGACCAGGTGTTTTTGATGGGAGATAACCATAATGTAGGAAGATGATGGTCAGAACCTAACTAGAACTTGAAACATTCATGCTCTGATGCTGCCAGTCAGGAGAACAAAAACTCAACTGTTGAAAAGGGAAGGTCTTTCTAAGAGCGTTGTCCAAAGTGTGTTCTTGTTAACGGAGCTACATTTACCTGCAGCTCTACATATAAAAGCCTGATTCGCCGTCCTTGAGCAAAGATGCTAGAAGATCACAGTACCGTCTCGCTGAGACCTTCAGTAGCACTCCCATGAAGGCTGCAGTGGGAAGATGTTAGAAGAATCCAATGCAGCGTAGTAGTCTCGGCAGGAATCATCTCAAGCTGTGAAGATGCAAGGTTGGTTGTAGTGTGGACTGGACTGAACCTGATATGAAAGACAAGAAAGAAAACAATTGATTCTTGAATTAAATGTGAATAAATGCTTTTCCAAAGGACAGCAGGAAAATAGACCAGACTTATTTATTCCCCCCCTCCCCGTTCTGGGAAAGCGAGGAGTAGATATATGGGCAAAAGCAGTGCTGGATTCACACCTTTTCTGGTAGGTTGGTAAACACTGTTGAATAGGTCACTTCGTTCTCTGCCTCTGCTCTGGGATGTTTAAAGAAGAGAGATTCCTTGCAAGCGCAGCTTCTCCAGCAGCATTTCTGGCCAGGTAACAGCAATGATGTCTGAGGTCTAGAAAGATGTGCAGTTTTTCAAATTTTTTTTCCCCTCTAGTACTTGCATTCCTGATAATGAATACTTTTTTATTGTTGGAAATAAATCCCATTTTGTCTTGCTCAGCCTGCAGCTAGATGTCTAGAAGAGATGATTTTCATGTCAGTGTTTCCATTCATCTGGACTCTACAAATTTTACTGCTTCTCTTGGTGAAATGTCTTTGGGTCAGAGAATCTTCTCATGCCAGTTTGAGCAACGCCTTGCTTTAGCCTCAGCTGTCACTACAGGTTATGGCTAAAAATTAAGTTGCTACCGATAACCACCACTTCACATGTTAGCAAAGTTCTTTTGTAAAGTTTTTTCTGTAACTGTCTTTTCATCAAACAGATGCTAATTGCATGGTCTAGACCAGAGGATTACTGTCTCCCACTTGGGACAGAAGAGTCAATGTTTCAGGTATAGAGCTTGCTGGGATCAATGTTTAGTCTTCTAGCATCTGCTCTGGGGCCCTGGAAAATCAAAGTGCTCTTCTGCAGGCTGCAGAAGGGACCAGCATTAGCTGATTGCTAGTGGGGTTTCTTGGCCCATGCAGTGTGCTATTTAGACATTGTTACATGTAAGATGCTGATATTTGCTGCCATTTTACTAGTAGGTTTCTGGAATGGCTCTTTCTAAATCAAACTGTTTTGTAGTAAACAGGACCAAAATTCAGAATGTCTGAAATGTATTTTCCTTACTGACTTACCTTCTGCCAGTACTAATGCGAATCTTATTGAACCTAGAAAAAAGCAGACAATTAATGCTGTGTTGGTGGGTAATTAGTCATGTACCTTGTCCCTCTGTGTGTTGCCCTGATGAGGCACACAGGTACGTTGGTGAGGGCTCTTGCTGTAGAGTGCGAGTTCTGCATCTCTTGTGATTGTGAGGTGTTACTGCCGATGGCTACGAACTGCCAACACCTGAATGAAGCAGGGCCAGCCTCGGGCTTGTATTTGTGTTCTTTTATCTCTTTAATTTTTTTATTCTTTTTTCAGTGCTCTCTGAGTAGGATAGCATGTTGTGGAAGTACTTTCTGTTTTATGAACTGTGCGACAGGCTCATCACCTTCTGAGGTCTGTGCCTTTCTTCCCTGAAGCAGGTGAGGTCCATCCCATACCCTTGGTGCTGGGAGTCCCTAAGCTCTGACTTAAACTGCTGCTTTCCAGTTTAGCAAGACGTTGAGTGTAACCTGCCAAAGTCATTGATCAAATAAATACTTCTTTGTGAGAGAATCCTCAGGGAGCAAGGAGAAGTATTATCAACCAAAGGAATGCAGAAAAGGGAGTTCTTACTGATTTCAAGACTTAATTTCTTTAATTGAATCAAAGCTTTCTTGTCCATTATTGATTTTCTTAAATCATATGAGCTACTTGTTAGCTAGACTACTGCTTCAGCCCTAACGTATTAGAGCAGGTCACTAATGTATTGTAGGAACCAATTTGTGTATTCGCCATCTGCTTCGTTTTTTTTTCTATTGGAAAAAAAGATAAGAGCCAATAGCTGGAGCTTCTTATTGACTCTCTTATTCCATGGAGGTTAAACTTAACAGGAAATCTGGCATATGTTGACTCTTAATTGTGTGCATTAATACATTTGAATACAGTTGCTGACTGATAGGTCACCACACTCCAGCTAAGGAGGTGATGCACAGTAATGGAAGCAGAACTGGAGCTTTTGCAGGGTTCTGAAAATAAGCTGTTACTTTTGGTTCTCTTATTCCTTGGGAATAAAAAGCTTTTGCTAACTGCTTCTAGGACTTAACAAAAGGAAGAGAGAAATGGATGGAAAGGCAGGGAGAAGGTTGCATTAGAAGGAAACAGGTAGGAAGGAGGAGAAAAACTTGCTGAGCCATCTTCATGGTGAGCATTTGAGCAAGGGGAATGGGGTGGATAAAATTTTGGGCTCCTATATTGAGGCTTTCTATTTACGGATAAACCAGGAAAAAGCTGCTGAAGTGGAAGTTGTTTGGCACTTCCTATGCCATGCTCATGTGCAAGGCTCCACCTAGTCTTTACACTGTCTAGGTTTCATGCTCTAATCATTACCCAGATTTCTGAGGAGCGGAGCAGAGACTTTCTGATGAGATTTTCCTTGGTCAGTTCTCCAGCTCGGAGCAGACCTGTGAGCAGCTCAGTACCCCTTGGATATATGCCTGGTCACGGATATCTGATCAAATTCCTCTGGATTATGGTCTTGTACCGCCACTTACATTTGAGTTTGCATTGTCCTTCATGGTGAAGCTGTGTGTGCTTGGTGCCAGCCTTTGAAGCCCACAAGAGCCTCGGGGCATCTCTGTCGCAGCTGGGTGTGAGGTGGTTCCCGTTTGCTTTTTACACCGTGCTGAAAAGAACGCTTCAGTGGGATGCTGGACGGAAACGGCTCATACCCCAGAACTGTCCCGATCTGCTTATGGAGGTTATGTGCTTCCTTCGGGTTTTGCTTCCCAAGCGCTGAATGAGCCCGTAGGCTTGTGCAGCTCTCGCTTGCTCCAAG